TGTACATCTACTATTGGACACGAACCTACTCTAATGGCAACTTGTATAAGACAGTCACTTGTTCAAACGAAACTTTCCATTTCCCTTCTGCATTTTTATTTCTTTTTTTTAAATTCTGTTTTATTTAACTTTTTTTTTTCTTTTCTTTTCTTTTCTTTCATTCTTAATTTATTTTTTAAATTTCATTTTGCATTACAGCGCCACTGTGTAATAATATGTTCATCTGTCTTAGACAACCACACTTCCCTTCATCTAATGGGTGACTGTCTTACACAGTCTTAGACAGGTTCGACTGCACTTTCTATTGTCGACCGCACACCAGTGACTTACAGTCAGACACCCGTGGCAGCGCTCTTATGACCTTATGAAGTTGCAAACGCCGTAAAACCTTACTAAATCGAAAGTAAAACAGCCAGTACTCACTGTCATACACCCGTCTGTACGGCGGCCGGTCCCGTTTGCCCAGAGAGGCCTGTACTAGGAACACCACAGCGGTCAGTGAAACCGTCAGTAGAGAGACCAGGTCCTGGCAGATCTGAGAGGAACAAGGCAGGATTGGTTGTAGTCACAGAATTCTACACTTAGTGTAGAATTCTGTGGTTGTAGTAGAAGTTTTACGGCGCTCGCAACTGCATAAGGTCACATGAGTGCCAAGGGGTGGATGTCAACAGAGAATTCCGAAGGTAGGATTTTGTAACGTGCCACCATGGTATACTAGTAGTAGTATTATAATGTGAAGAAACAGGGGTTTGTTAACGTACCTCTATAGTCAATCTAAAGAAAAGGGGGCTTACTGATACACCATCTAGTCAGGTCCATTTAAACTACATGTAACAATAAAGGTGTTCCAACGTACCGCCGGGGTATAATATCTAAAGAAAAAGCGGTTTCTAACATATCACTAAAGTATACATATCAGGTATATAAAAAAAATAATTTTAACCCCAAATTTGTCTACCGTACACCCATGGTATAATATCTCCAACAGAAACAGGTTGACTAAAGTACCACCAGGATAAACAAAACAATTTTTGTCTACCGTACCACCAGGATAAACTAAACAATATGACATTGTGTCTACCGTACCACCAGGATAAACTAAACAATATGACATTGTGTCTACCGTACCACCAGGATAAACTAAACAATATGACATTGTGTCT